CTCTATCTACAGTATATATTTTTCTTTTCCACCTTTTCTAATTTTTAATTTTTTTTGTATGAATACAGATTCATTGCTCTTTACCAACCTAAAGTGAAATTAAAGTTGTATCTGGAGGAGCATTAAATCTGTACTTTTTTTTTATTTTGATTACATTATGTTTATGCTTTTGCTTTTATTACTCTTTCCTCTCTTTCTTTTTCCTTGTTTCATATAATTTTTTTTTAGATAAATGAGCTGTGAATTAGAAGTCTGTGGCATTTGTGCCCGACTCAGCTTCAAGAGTCCAATGGGGATCCACAGGCTTATAATTGCTTCCTGCAGACATCCTTCAATCTGTTTATAGTTTCACCCCGAGCTCTGTGAGTGGGTGAGGAGAACCCAGGAACTGAGACCTTACAATAGCATGCAGCATCGGCCATCCCCACCTTCAGGGGCTCTGGTAAATACCGGCTGTTGCTCAGACTCTGCATCCTGTGGGGATCCCACTTCACTTGCCCACATTAAGACCCCCTATGGTTAACAACCTTAAAGGCTAAACAGCTGCTTCACGCTTGATTTCCCCCCCAATAACATTCTCCTCTTTTTTCGTATCCATGTATGATTGTCTGGAGGCCTGCCCTACCACCACCTGAAGAAACAACAACCACCACGTCATCTCTTGAGACAAGGGTGCAAAAGCTAGACCTTCCTCAACTATCTTTCGCCATGCTGAATAGTGCCATTTCGCGGTCTGATCCAATCTTTGCAAACTTTGCACAGTGTTCCCAAGATACGGGACTAAAGATATCAGGATCCCGCCATCGATGTTGGAGTTCCGTCCTTCCAAGGCAGAGGGGAGAGGAAACATCGCAGCACAGGCATTCATGGTGCGAATGTGAGGTCTCCGAGGCACAGGACTTCTTTGTTTACTCAGGATAGATAAGGAGTTCCTTCGTGATCAAGAAAGAAGAGGAGGCCGCAGTGGTGGTGGGGGGGTTGGGCCTTCTGGGTGGTCATGGGTGGGTACAAAATCATTGAGGGAGGGCATAAGTTCTCGAATGAACTTCAGGGGGAGATGTGGTGGCTATTTTGGGCCTATAATAATTTTAATATTATTGTGAACTTCTGTTCAGGGTCTCAATTTATGCAACATATTTACCATCTGTTGTATCACCTCAACACACCTCCATGTATGTTACTGTGACTGTGAGGGAGGGAGAGATTAAACAAAAGACTCAAAGGAGGTGAGGGGGAAGGCAACTGGAATTTTCTGTTTTTCTTTGACTACCTTGCTCTGAAGCCCACCCATTGGAAGATAAAGGTGTGATTTACTTGGGTGGGTGGTTCTTGGGATGGTCTTTTGTAAAGTGCATAAAACAGCTTGGTCAAAGGAGAAGCTCTCTCTTTGTCGTGTGTGCCTCCAGGAGCCAGACCTCACAACATCAGGGTGTCTGCAATGTATCAGCCATGCTCTATTTTTCTTTTCTATAACTTCCTTTTCTTATAGTCATCTCTCTATACTGAACATCTAATATTTTTTCTCATGTAATATCAATGATTGATTGATATTAGTAACTATTTTTTTCTTCTGAATAAAGAAATTAGATTTCCTTTTTCTTTTTATTCGGCACAGTGGTTATTGGTTAGAAATAATCTACAACTGAGAGAGAGGCAACAAGGCCTGATTCTGTTTGTGGGCAAAAGGTTGTAATCACTTCTTGTATTTATAACCGATAGAACCAAGTAAATAAGTGTGGGAGAGAAAAACCGCCAAAACAGTATGCTGATGCCTTAAAAGTTCCCTTCACTTGAACCAAGGGGCCAAGCCCAACCCCTGAAAATCAACCCAGACCATAATCCCCCTCCACCAAACGTTACATTTGGCACAATGCAGTCAGGCAAGTACTGTTCTCCTGACAACCGCCAAACCCAGACACGTCCATCGGATTGCCTGATAGAGAAGCGTGATTGGTCACTCCAGAGAACACATCTACACTGCTCTAGAGTCCAGTGGTGGCGTGCTTTACACCACTGCATCCCACGCTTTGCATTAGACTTGGTGATGTAAGGCTTGGATGCAGCTGCTCGGCCATGGAAACCCATTCCATGAAGCTCTCTACGCACTGTTGTTGTGCTAATCTGAAGCCTACATGAAGTTTGGAGGTCTTCAGCCATTGACTCTGCAGACAGTTGGCGATATTGGCACACTGTGGGAGCATCAGCAATGCGCTAGCCCCACTCTGTCCTTTTACTGTTGTTCCCAGGTGCTTCCACTTTGTTATAATACCACTAACAACTAACCGTGGAATATTTAGTAGCAAGGAAATTTGACGGATGGACTTATTGCACAGGTGGCCACCTATCACTGTACCATGCTTGAATTCACTGAGCTCTTGAGAAAGACCCATTCTTTCACAAATGTTTTTAGAAGCAGTCTGCATGCCTAGATGCTTGATGTTTACACCTATGGCCATGGAGGTGATTGGAACACCCAAATCCAATGATTTGGAGGGGTGTCCCAATACTTTTGGCAATATAGTGTACTTCATTTGAGAATGCTGACATTTACAAACATTTCCAAATGGACATCTATAACTTCTGACAGGTACTTCATTTAAATTAATTTCTGAGGTCAACCCATGCATGCACAGAGAAAATAAATTTATAACAAATATTGCATTGCGGTCAAATATGGGTGTGATAGCAACTGTATATGGCATTGAAGCCTTTACGTGCTCTGTAGTGTTAGGTATAGAGTTTTAAAATTTGAATAGGCATGGGCTCTATCAAACATCTAGAACAGCAATGGGCAAACTACGGCCCAGTGGACCTTTGAATCCGGCCCGCGGAGCGTGATAAAAAAAAAAAAAAAACAGCCAGGGCAGGCAAACATTGGCTGTCAGGATGTGTGTAGGCGGGGCAGCGTGACGAACATGATGGGAGCTAGGCTCCTCTCACAGTCCGCCCTGAAGACCGGAACGGCGCGGGAACTCGGTGAGAGGAACGCGCGGAGCAAAGGTAAGCAAATTGACACAGAGGGGACTTGGCTTACTACTTGGGGGGGAATAGTACTATGGGGGATGAAATACTATATGAGGGATGAATTAATATGGGGAATGAATTAATATGGGGAATGAATTAATATGGGGAATGAATTAATATGGGGAATGAATTAATATGGGGAATGAATTACTATATGGGGGATGAATTACTATATGGGGGATGAATTACTATATGGGGGATGAATTACTATATGAGGGATGAATTACTATATGAGGGATGAATTAATATGGGGAATTACTATATGGGGGATGAAATACTATATGAGGGATGAATATGGGGGATGAATTATATGGGGAATGAATTACTATATGGGGGATGAATTACTATATGGGGGGATGAATTACTATGGGGATGAATTACTATATGGGGGAATGAATTACTATGGGGGATGAATTACTATATGGGGGATGAATTACTATGGGGGATGAATTACTATGGGGGGATGAATACTATATGAGGGATGAATTAATATGGGGGATGAATTAATATATGGGGGATGAATTACTATAGGGGGGATGAATTACTATAGGGGGGATGAATTACTATAGGGGGGATGAATTACTATAGGGGGGATGAATTACTATAGGGGGGATGAATTACTATGGGGGATGAATTACTATGCTTACTATGGGGGAATATTACTATACTTACTATGGATGGCATGGTAGTGTTTAAATTAATCTAAACATTTAATGTTACAAATTTTAATTCAATTTATATTAATTCACACATACACATCATTCATCTACTCTTGGTCCGGCCCCCAGGTCCAATATATGAACCCATTGCGGCCCTCAAGTCAAAAAGTTTGCCCACCCCTGATCTAGAATGTGTGACAATTACTGGCTGAAATGTAGAGGCCATGGTGAACTGCCATTTGTTCTGCCCACTGAGTATACCCATTAAAAATTGATAGAAGCTTTAGAAGAATAATCCTAGGAAAATTAAGTTCTCTAGGATGCAGGTACCAAAAGGGCACTTGCCACCTGCGAGGTCAGAATCAATTTGTACACTTTTGTTTTATAAGTGTTTACATGATTGTGGCTATGTTTTAGTTCATACTTGGTCTTTAAAAAGAAAGCTTAAATGCATTTGTAAAAGAAGCAAGATCATGCAACACTGTATAGGTCAGTGCCCACCCTTTTAAAGAGTATCTTAAGCAAATTCACCTGAGTTTAGTGCTTTTTTTTCAAGGTACTGTTACACAGTACAAGTTTCCATGTCACAGAATAATACGGACATTGAAAACTACTTACTTTATGTTGGCGTAGTAAAAAAGGAAGCAACATTAGCATTCCACCATCATGAACAATCCACCAAATATCAATATTCCCCTCACTGAAACGCTCTTGGTTGGCAGGAAATGAATCAATGTTCCTTGCCACAAGTAATGCTTGCTGAGCTGTTGTAGCATCTCGCACTGTATCTGGTGGAACACAAAAAAATACATTTTTAGATTACATTCTAATATATTTCATCTACATCTATCTAATGAAAAAGATACTGTGCTTTTAAATAAATCCAGAGCTCTAAAATATGCATATATTATCTAGGTAAATATACAAAGATATCTCTTAGCAGAATATCCATCTACAGTTTGCTGGTTTATATATTTCATGCCTCCTAGTATTCAAGCCAATTGATATTTTTGCTAATTAAAGTGGTTGTAAGGTTTTTTTTTACCTTCATGCATTCTATGCAAGAAAGAAAAAAAAACCTGTGTGCTGCTCCCGCTACAGCCTCCCTACTCACCTGAGCCCCCTCTTGATCCAACAATGTGCATAGGAGCCTCAGCTTACTCAGGACTTCCTCTCTTCATTGACTTGAGACAGCAAAGGGAGCCATTGGCTCTCACTACTGTCAATCACAGCCAGTGAGCCAATAAGGAGAGAGCAGGAGGTGGGGTCAAACTACGGCACTGTGTGTCTTATGGACGCATAGAGCCGAGCTGCAGAGCAAGCATGCACCAGTGCCCCCCACAGCAAGCAGCTAGCTATTGGGGGCACTGGTCAAGGGGGAGGAGCCATGAGCGACGGCAGGAGAAGAGAATTGGGGATGCTCTGTGCACAACCATTGCACAGAGCAGGCACGTATGACATGTTTGTAATTTATTTTTAAAAAGTTGAACCTTTAATACCACTTTGAGGTTTTCTGCTGACGTTAACACCTCACTGTATTATGGTCAAATCTGGTATATGACTGTAAAAACCCAAATAAAGAATTTAAGAAAAAGTTTCTTGCGTGGATCCAGGGATTCTTCATAGTGAGTCACTGACCTAAAGTTAAAATGCAGCAGTCAAGTTTGGCATCTCCTATCATATGGACTGGTTCCAGGTTAATGACCCACTAAGCAGACACTAAGTCAGAACAAGGCCTCTTGCACACTGCAGCTTGGAAAAGCTCAGTACAGCGGTTTTTTTTTTTAACGGAGGTAAAAATGTAGCCAATTATTTCCATTGTGCCTTTACACACAGGCGCGTAAACAAGTGCAGCATATTCCCCAGTTAAAGAAAAAAATCTGCATTTTTTGTCAGTAATTTATGCTGCGTTTGTGCATACAAATACGCACATATGAGCATAAATATTAATGAATTTCCCCTAAGAATACACTGTGCATGCATATGCGCTAATGCGCAAATGCGGGTAAATACATGCGAATACACCCAAACATAAGTGTGAAATTACGTTAGAAAAAAAGCAGATGCTCAAACATCAGTACAGTGTGCAAGAGGCCTAACCGTGACATCGCTAATAACGGCAACACATAATAATATGGAAACACTCATATTCCTATCCACACACAGTTTTGTGAAGCAACGGGCTAGTCCATGTTACCCAATTAAATATATACTTAAAGCCAAAACTCAGTTACTTTCTCACTTAGTTTTTGACATAATAAAGTGTTGAAACCTAGAGTAGGTCAGTTTTTTTATTGCTATAAAATAATATTAACTTTGCTCATATTAACTAACATTTATAAACATTAACCACCCCCTAACAAGTGGCTATGTGAATAACTACATAAAAAACTATTCCACGGAATGGACACAGCACTACTCCAAAACTAACTACAATTAAGGGTTTAAAATAACCTACACATAATCCAACAATTATAGACTTATCAAATAAATGTAACAAAATACAATGTTAAACCCTAAGCATATAAATCACAAATAAAAGAGTCCATAAAAGAAACTGTCATTATTCCCCAAAACATATAAGACAAACATATCTGTGAATACAACACTTGGTAACCGGTCATAGGCCACAGTGAAATAAAATGGTTCAGAATTTTAAATTTTTTATTTTGAATAGAATAAGGAACATTTTCCTCCTGCAGTTGCTGAATGCCAGTGGGAGGGAGAGGAGGAAGGATCCAGTTTTTAGCAGTGTGCAAGAGGAAAATAGGATTGTTTTCTGTACATGCCACCCCTGCCGCCACTACTGTCCAAATGCAAAACAGAAGAAGGTTAGCTGTGCTTTGCCTTAGACTTGTATTATATCTTGCAGACGTGGTGCACTTTCTCAAAGTATACCTAACCCGCAGGATATAATAGAAATCTATGGCTCAGTGCAGCTAACCCGCAGGAAAGCTGCGCTGCACCCACGGATGTCAAAACAGCCTAACAGTAACCCTTTAATAGGTTCTAATATGCCCACTGCAAAAGCGCAGTGTATGTGTTTAATACAGTGACCTTTTTTTTCCCTCTACCAACTTTTGCTGGAATAGCTCTCCAGGCTGCTTCCTCCACTGCAGACTCTGATGCTCTGGGATGGCGGGTTGGGAAGCCCAGATTGCAATCAATGGTTTGTCAATCTCGGGCATGCTCTTTCCTGGTTTGAGGTCAAGGGCCCCAACAGAGGGATCGGAGAGCCACAGGGTGAGCACCCCTGGCCTACCGTCTGTGCTTGAATGCCGCCTGCCATGACCTTGGCTTGTTTCCTTTCTCTATCCTGTAGTTGTACTTTGCACATGCTTGTTTCCGCATCCTCAGCTGGGCATACCTGGGGGCCGTAACCTGATCCAAGCTTGCTGCAAGTTCATACCCACCATCAGGGGCCCTAATGAGGAAGCAAGCTGGGGCTTAGTCTCCACACCTTGGGAACGCCGAGCTGGCAATCTACAAGGTCTCCCTATCACTGAAGCTTGACATGCCATGTATTCCCCACGTTTTAGAGAGGCAATTCCTGACCTTGCAGATTCCATGCAAAATGAAAACTCCTGAGTAATCTAGAGTAAGGGCTTTAGGTGGGTGTGGTGGTAAAGCGTGTCCGATGGTGTGATCTAACACCTGATCATCTACTTGAGACTGAACTCTGGTTGCATTTCAGTGCCAAGTTTGAAAAGTTTATGCTTTAAGGTGAATACAGTCCAAACAAAGGCCCATTTTTACAGTAACAGTCAGCGATACAGGGTGACTCTATTACTTTTCCACAATGCTAAACTGTAAATAAAGTCCAGGGTTCACCGGTCACGGGGTCTTCAGGCACTGGGTTCCATAGTGATGGACTATAGTCTTGGACCTATTTAGCACCCTGTGATTTACCAAATGCATTGCACCAAGTGCCAAGGTGAGCACCCATGCAGGATCCAATGCCCAAAGCAACATTAAAGGTCTTCCTCATGCCATGAGGTCTGGATATGGCTCCTAAAGTTATACAAAAGATTACCCTGATCTGGAAACTAGTTACGCTAAGAGCGAAAAAAAAGTCCATTCATTACCTTCAGATACTAGCACTGGATCTGTGTATATAGAATTGTATTAATTTTTTTCCCTTTTATTGGTTGAACTAGATGTGTCTTTTTTCAACCAGACTATGTAAAACTGGGGACTCCTGGAGAGGGGCAGAGTTATAGGGTAGACACCTAGGGGGCCTGTCCCCTAAAGCTTTTCCAGTGCCCAATCACCTGAAGGTCCAAGCCTTTAACCCGTCCTGGTATAGTTTTTTTTTTCAGCAGGTGATCAGCTTTAATGTAAAAGCAATCCTAGTGGCTAATTAGCTGCAGGATTGCTTTTACAAGCAGTGGGAGAAGATGTCCCCCCTTGCTGCCTTCCACAGCCTTCTTGGGCAGTCCCGTGCCATCGGGGGAACCAGAGAATGAAGCCGGTGTTTCTGACAGCTGACCCTAGAGCTGATTGGAGAGAATGGCACCAATCATCTCTCCAGTCTAAGAAATTGGAAGCTACGAGCATTTCATCACTTCAGTTTCGCAGGATATAAACAGCGCCATTTGTAAATTGGGAAAGCATCTGATCACACTGATCTTGGTGAGATTAGATTATGTAAAGGCAGAGGAGATATCTAGAGTCTGATCAATCCCAAAAAAAGAATATATGACAATGCCGATTGAAGTTATAGCTGATAGCATTAAAAGTGATCAAAAAAAAAAAATTTGAAAAAAAGGGACAGTGTAAAAATAAATTTAAAAAAATCAAAACAACTTAAAAAAGAAAAAAAAAAAAAAAAAAAAAGTACCCTTGCCCCCCCACAGGTAAGCGAGCGTTGACCCTGTGTCGGTATGTACACAGCAGTTGCAAAATCTAAAGTGGTAGCTTGTAAAGGCTTTTAAAGCGTTGCCTATGGATATTAAAAATGTATGCAGTTTGTTGCCATTACATGGTGCATGCGCAGTTATAAAGCATGTCATGTTTGGTATCTATTTACTCGGTATACCATCATCTTTTATATGTTACCAAATAATTGGCCAATATATTGTGTTTTTGTGCATTAAAAAGTAAAAAAAAAAAGTGTATTTTTTTTCAAAAACAATTTCACTGGGGTGTCTGTTTTAAAAAAAATATACAGTGGGGCAAAAAAGTATTTAGTCAGCCACCAATTGTGCAAGTTCTCCCACTTAAAAAGATGAGAGAGGCCTGTAATTGGCATCATAGGTAGACCTCAACTACGAGAGACAAAATGAGAAAAAAAATCCAGACAATCACATTGGCTGATTTGGAAAGAATTTATTTGCAAATTATGGTGGAATACAAGTATTTGGTTACCTACAAACAAGCAAGATTTCTGGCTCTCACAGACCTGTACCTTCTTCTTTAAGAGGCTCCTCTGTCCTGCACTCATTACCTGTATCAATGGCACCTGTTTGAACTTGTTATCAGTATAAAAGACACCTGTCCACAACCTCAAACAGTCACACTCCAAACTCCACTATGGTGAAGACCAAAGAACTGTCGAAGGACACCAGAAACAAAATTGTAGACCTGCACCAGGCTGGGAAGACTGAATCTGCAATAGGCAAGCAGCTTGGTGTGAACAAATCAACTGTGGGAGCAATAATTATAAAATGGAAGACATACAAGACCACTGATAATCTCCCTCGATCTGGGGCTCCACGCAAGATCTCACTCCGTGGGGTCAAAATGATCACAAGAACGGTGAGCAAAAATCCCAGGACCACACGGGGGG